CGCACACCCACCGCCTCCTGCGCCATGAGGGCTGGCGCGCGGGCACCCCAACCCCAAGGCCACGCAAGCCCGCCCGTTCACACCCACGCTGGCCCCACCGCCGCGCGGCCGCAGCACCCACCGCCCCCACTCGCACACCTCGAAACCCCGATTCTGCCTTTTTTTTTCCTCCAAGAGTTGCGCAAGTGGTTCGGGGGCGTGGCCCCAGATTTGACCTCTCGCTTCCCCACTCGCGGGAACCTTAGCTCATTTCCGCCCATCCTGTTTCCGTAGGCCACGTAGACACTTCCTTTCCCAATGGGGGAAAAAAAAAGCCCCCATAATGCCTCCCTGCAGGAAAAAAAAAAGAACCTCTGGTTTGGGGAACTCTGGGTCGTGAAAACAGGCCACGTGAACACCCTGCCCTATAGACTTCTGACCCACGGACTGTCGCGCTTTAGGTGGGCAGGCTCAGAACCTAAGAGGACGAACATCATTGGCCAGGGCCTACACTAAAGGAGGAGGAGGATTGGTTTGCTTCAAGCCTTAACCGTGAAGAAGCAGATTGCTACACCCCCCCTTTACTGCGGCTAAGTATCATTGTGACGTGATGAGCCTTGTCCAATCGTTTGGTTATGGAACATTCTAAAACTTAGACCAGGCGAATGTGATTGGCTGAAGGGCATAAGCCCGCCTCCAGGGTGACGTGTCTGCCTATGGATATCAGTTGCCAGAGAAACCTGGCTTTACTATGGCTGTTGGAGGGACGGCAGTGATCACACGTCCGCTGCTGGGAAGAAGTGGATTCCCGTTTCAGGTTTCGGGGTGGGGGTGGGGAGTAAGGGTTGACGATTTCTTCTTCTCGCTGTGTATATAGGAAAGATTAATTAATGGTTTCACGATAGGGAAGATTCGAATTCAGATTCCTACGCCAACGCCCAGCTCCGGCTGGCTCCCGTTCTTTCTGTGTCTCGGTTTCCATGTTTGTGAAATGGTGATAATAATAAGTCTGTACCTCAGAGACGTGTACCTCAGAAGCGTGTCCTGTATGTTAGTATAAGCCATTTAATAGGAAGCCTAGCTCCCAAAGATATTAGCTATAATTGTGGAAAGAAAAATCCGCGTAACAGAATGAGAAAAAAACAAATTATGTAAATTCGTTCATTATAGTGGTTTTCTTGCCCATCAGCTCCTTTCATAGAAGAAATTAGAGATATAAGGGAGACATCAGTCTTTACTGGTAAAATAATATACTATTTGGAAATTACCTTAGAATAGCGGGGATTGGAATTTTCCATATTGAAAAGTTTAAAAAAATGGGGGAGGGGGAGAAAGAGATGGAGAACGAGAGCGAGCTGGAGATGAACCACATGGGATGAGTAGGCCTTGTTTGGATCCAGATTCGAACACCGACAGTGAAAAAAAACTTTAAAATACATTGGAAAAATTGGAAGATAGATTTGTTGTTTTATGTGTTTTTAAGGAATTGATGCCGATGTTTTTAGACATTATAATGGTATTGTGGTTATGTTTTCAAATTGTCTTTTAAGAGCTATATACGAAAATACGACTTAAATAATAATGTGTCTGGGATTGGCTTCAAAATGCATTGATGACTAAGATTTGTTTCAAAATAATCTCAGCAGTAGGGGGACCTGGGGAGAGGTATAGATGAAACAAAATTGGACCTAAGTTAATAATCATTTAAGCTGAGTGATGGGCATATAGGGATCCTTATATTATTGTTTTCCTTGGTATATGTTTGCAATTTTTTGTAATAAAATACAGAAGGTCAGCTATTTCAAGAGCTTTAAAAAAAAAAAAAATCGGAGTTGGGGGGGGAGCAGTGGGTGGGGTTACGATGAAACAAGATGGCCTTCAGTTGGTAATTGTTGAAGCTGGATGATAGGTTCGAATGGGTTTATAATATCCCCTCTACATTTTTCACCATTTGAAATTTTCCTTAATAAAAAGTTAAAAAAAAAAAGCAAAAGCAAAACAAGTCACTTTCTCAAAAATCAGGATAAATGTACACTAAATTTGAAAATGTAACCACAAGAAAGGAAAAAGAAACACTTGTACATTATTTATCAGCTTTGGTGTCCTTTGTGTGTGATAAAATGCAATGGTTGGTGGAGGAGGAAAAGAACATCATCTCATATCTTTTTATTTTATGTCCTTTCCCATCCCCTTGTTTGACCTTCTAGGCCATTTATCAGAAAAGCTAAGTTTGCTGCCTAGTAAGGATCAGAAGGTCTGATCCTGATTACAGAATCTTGGGTAAGTGCCTCCCTTCTCCTGGCCTCAGTTCTCAAACAAGATAATTCCACATAACCTTTACTGTCCAGGAATATTTTAAATATTAGTAAGTGTCTATCTGGGAAAGCGCTCAATTCTAAAAAGGGAGGGATGAAGCTGAGTCCATTGGTGCATCCAGTACATTAAGTGCCTAAAAAACAAAGGGCTGTGTTATCTTACATTCCTTAATAAAAGATACTACAGTTGACCTCCAATAGTTAGATTCATACATCTATGTATTGTTTTTCTTTGTGGCATCCCATATGCAGCATAATTCAGTGGTTAAGAGCCACTACTGACTTCCTGAATCTAAATCCTGGCTCTGACGCTTAACTGTGATTCCTCAGAAGCAAAATAAAGGTAATAATAGTTTTTACTTCATAGGATTGTTAAGGGGATTACCTATAACGTATCAGGATAGTGTTTGACACATAAAAGAGTTTGCTTTAATAATAAATATGGTTCTAGCAGTGCTTCTGGTATACTTCTAAAAGCAGTGGATACCTCTTTTTGGAATTGTAAAAAATTAACACTGTTGGTTTCTCTCCTGATTTTCCAGAAGCAGCAGTTACTACCAAAACTGAATTCTGGAATTACAGCTTCTGACTCGTCCTAACAATCTAGAAAGATATTGAGTCTATTGATAAGAGAATGTCCAGAAGCTATAATTTTAACCAGCAAATTGTAACCATATTCAGCCTGCTAGCAGCTTTTATATTATTCCATCTTTGTCTTAGACTCAAAAAATAATTGTTATACATACAGAAAGTAGTCCCAAGATCCAGAAGAGAGAATTGATAATCAATGTAACTGACATTGTATAGGTGCATTTAAAGGTTTATTCCAACAAACTGTAGGTGTTCACACTCATTTGTGCCCACCCATACACAAAAATATTAGCATTTGGAGTCTGCATTTCTGAATGGCCCATCACTTGCATGAGGAGATGAAGGAATTTTCCCATGGTATCACTATATATTCCCTTTTATATTTTCTGAAAGCGAGGTCGCAGAGGAGGGCACCACCTGGTGGAAAATGTGCAATAGATGGGTAGGCACAAAACCCCTTTACAGGAGGCCTTTTGAGAATGATTAAAGGATAAAGGGAGGGAGGTTAGGCCAATAGGAGCTCAGAGGAGGCAAGAGCCAGAGTGGCCAGAAATAGAGAAAGACTCAAGGAGAAAAAGGACCTTGACCTGGGCCTTTGAGGATGGGCAGGACTTTAGAAGGAAGGAGAGAAACCTGTCTGAATGTTTGCCCACAAAGTATATGGCACACCATGATAATTAACTGAAAAGCCCAGCTCTGTGAAATCCATGGATAAGAATAGATCAGAAAGTCATTGTGGATTTAAATATGTATATTTCAGTATAAATTTTTAGTCACAGAGTTGATATGTGCATACATTCTCCTTGTAATATAAAAAAAATATATATATTGCAGAGTAGGCTCAGGTTTCCTTTTCTCATCACCCCAATTTTCTCATTCTCCCCAGAATTAACCATTATTATCAGTTCTATTTCCTTCTAGATCTCTAAGTTATATACCTGTTTTAAAATGTGTATGGATATATATAAAATATTGTTTTGTTTTTTATATAAATATGGTGTCACACTATAGGTACTGTTTTGCAACTTGCTATTTTTAATCAAATTGTCTGGGATGTCTTCGTGTCCATTCATAGAATTCTATTTGATTCCTTTCATAGTGCCATTCCTTTAACTGGCATGATAGCCCATATTATGGATAAACCACATTTTATTTTGCCAAATCACTATTGATAGTCCTCTAGCTGAAATCCAGTGTTTTTCTACTTCAAATAATACAACATGGAACATCCTTGGAATCCATTTACAAGTGTTACCCTAGGGCAACATTTATGGCTTTAAACTATGGTAATTAAACCAATGTGATACTGGTGTGAGAAGAGACATATCACTGTGACAGGACAGATAACCTAGAAATAGTGATACCTTTAAAAATTGAATAATCAAAGATCACTGGGAAGAGAGTTCCTTAAAAGAGACCCGTGTATCTATAGAAATATAGAGTATTATAAAATAGCATCAAATCAGTGGGAAGGGATGGACTCTAATAATATTAGGAAAAATTAGTTACATATTTGGAAGAAACTGTAAAAATACCAAGAAATAATATAGGGAATTTTTTTAGACCACTTCTGGGGAGCATTTTTCTTAGGCATAGGCATAAATGCCAAAGTTCACAAAGGAAAAGGTTGACACATTGACAGTTTGGACAAAATATTTCTAACATACCAAAAAAACTTAGTATTTAATTATTAGGAATCAGTAAAAGAAGCAAACAACCTAGCAGAAAGAGGTACAAAAATATTTACATAAAGATATCTATGAAAAAAATGCTCAATATCACACAAATTCAAATATCTTATTAGATTGGCCCCCAAAAAACAATTTTTTTTTCAATGTTTGTTCATTGTTGCTGAAGGTGTGGGTGAATGAACTTTTACATTTTTGCTGGGAGTACAAATTAAAGTGGTTTGTGGTTTTTTTTAAACATATCTTTATTGATTTCAGAGAGAGGAAAGGAGAGGGAGAGAGAGAGAGAGAGAGAGAAACATCAATGATGAGAGAGTTATTGATTGAACCCACAACCGGGCCATGTGCCCTGACCAGGAATCGAACCCTGATCACCTGGATCCTAGGTTGATGCTCAACCGCTGAGCCATGCCCAGCTGGGCTAAAGTGGTTCTTTACAAAGTTTTTTATCTCATCAAAAATAAATTAGCAAATCCTTTGAAAGAACACTTTACACTTCCTAATGCTCTAATATATCTGTACACTGATGTCTGTTACAGCATTTCTGTAATAATGAAGTATTGGGAGCAACCTGAATGTTCATTAGTATGGGACGGGTTAAATTACGCTATGTAGAGATTATAGAATGATGTGGATATTAGAAAGCATGAGCTAGGTATGTGCAGACAGAGGAGGTCCATGATAAAGGGAGAAAAGGTGCAGAGCGATATGTTGTTTAACCTTTGTCAAGACCAAATAAATGCATGACATATATACACATTTAGTTTTAAAGGTATGTTATTTGTGTAAATGTGTACATAAAAAGATTTGAAAGCATGCACACTCATTCTGGGATTGGAGAGGGGAGGTTGTAAGGAGAATGCCCGCATCTTTATGCATTTGGTATTTGTAGGTATATAAAGGAAAGATTACTCAGTAAATGTTACCACAAAATAAATTGGGGGGAAATATATAGATTTTCAGTCCATAACTTACATAATAAATTCTGGATAGATTAAGGAATCAAAATATAAAATAAGAGCTAAAATATAAATGCATTTTTAAAATGTTTAGACATCATTAATAACAAAATGCAAACTGAAAAACCAAACCCATTTCTTTACCAAATTCATAAATTAAGATAGCCAAATAGCCAATGCTGACCAGAGTATGAGGTGGGAAATTGGTAAAACTTTTAGCAGAAGTAATTAGGCAACATAGTACCTCTTGACCCACTAAGTCTGCATCTGGAAATCTTACAGGAATAATATGAAAGGGCAAAAATGTTTTAATAATTATAGGATAAATTGAGGAGGTGGAAATAGCACATTTTTTAAAGGGAAGATAGCTCACCTAAAGTTAGAAAACTAAGGCAAACATACCGATGTGTTTTCACAATATCTTGCATACCCTAGAGCTTTGACCTATAGAGAACAAGTGGAAAAATATTTGATGGCTTCTCGCTAAGTTATACCTCCATTTCCCCTATTTGTTGAATCACCCCACTTTGATTCACCATAGTATGCCCATCAGGGACATAAGTGTTGCTGCAAAAGATGCAAGATATTTTTAACACAAGACCTATGGCAAATGAAAATCAATGGTGAGGTTCCATAAGCAAAACTAACATGAAACATTTAAATACTAAGCTCTGAAGCACTAATGTCAGCTTCATGTGGTATTGGAGATGGGAGGGGTTGGCTAGAGTAAGTGGAGATTTAAACAGGAAACAGGACTTTCATGATTTGTAAATGAGGGAGACAAAGGGAGGAAGCATGATTGGAGTAAAGAGTAGGTAGAGTGTACTAAGTCCGTAAAAAGCCTGAAACCCAAGAAGGAAACTGGCAGATTTAAAAACAGCTCAAAATAAAGCACTATAATATCAACTTTCTAAATGAAGGATGTGCCCAGCACATCTGTCACCGGTGCATGGAGGCAGTGTAAGCTGGGAAGGAAGGTACAGAGCGCAGTGACCTGAGTAAGGCTATCCATAAACTGACAAGTAGGAAACACATCAAAAGGATGGGTATTCCTTTTCTTTGATGTCTGGCTTCTGACTCCCATCTAGTAATAGTTGCTTGATCTGTGGGATACTCAGATGAAAATAAAGGTACTGAGACAGTTCTTTAGAAAGGCTGCTTCCCTGGCTTTATTCACTGGGCGCAAACCTTGACTAATGGTGCAGGTATTTTCTGTACAATGTCAGATATAAGAGATAGAAGCATTTGTAGAGAATGATGAAACTCACCCACTTAATGAGAGTCAGAATTCCTTTCTGTAGTTTTATGAATTCATTATATATATGTGTGTGTGTGTGTGTGTATATGTATGCACACATACATATAATTGATACCAGTAGGTTCAGCTATCATTCTTAAGTTCCTCCTCACTAAGGAATTGTGGATGATCAATGTAGCTTCCAAAATAGTTCCTGTACAGCCTGGCTCTACTTCTGTGTATTTTATAGTCTGGTTAGTACTGGGCCATCTTACTTTTTTTCTTTTGATTTGAAAGAAAGGGAGAGGGAGAGAGATACAAGGATCGGCTGCCTCCTGCACACCCCCCACTGGGGATCAAGCTCACAACCTGGGCATGCATCCTGACCAGTAATCGAACCAGCAACCTCTTGGTGCATGGGATGACACTCAACCAACTAAGCCACACTGGCCAGGGCTGTCTTACTTTAATTTGTAGATTAACTATCCTCTTGTTTCATGGAAGCTCGGTACTATATTAGCCCCAGGTGGATTTTCTGAATTTCACCTATATTACTGAACTAAATTTTCTGATATCCTCAGATGCTGTGTCCCCGTCACAATTTTTTTTAGAAACATTATTTTGTAAGTATGATTGCTTACAATATAATGTCATGGCACACTGGTCACTGATCCTTCACAGGATGTATTTGTATATCTGTCAGCCAGAAAGCCTCAGATTCCCAGAGGGTCATTGTGTGCACAGATTTTGATGCTGAGGACAACTGCCCTTTAATTTCTGCTCAGAGCTTTGTGCCCTTTCAGTTAGAGGATACCATTTGCTTAATGAAAGTGCTGGCACCAAGCCTTTATTCCCAGTAACTGGTTTCCCTGATTCAGGGCTGTAGTTTTCTAGCATTGCTTACCTCTTATTTCCCCTTCAGGGCTTCCCTGACACCTGCCCACATTGTCTTAAGGGCTAGAGGTTAGCTAAGTGTTTTTTCTGTTGCCTAAAGTTGTAGTTACCAGAGGAACCTGGTTTAAACCTGGTCCACCATCCCCTCCATTCTTTCCTAGAGGTTACCCTGGCCAGTGTGGACCAATGGTTGAGCATCGACCCATGAACCTGGAGGTAGAAGTTCGATCCCTAGTGGGGGGGCGTGCACAAGGCGTCAGTCAATGATTTTCTCTCATCATTGATGTTTCTGTCTCCTTCCCTCTCCCTTCCTCTTTCTGAAATCAATAAAAACTTTTTAAAAAGATACTTTTCTATGCAATTATACACATGGGTTTAAAACACAGAAATTGGTTAACCCAGTACATTAGAATTGAAACTGATGTTTATTTCTCTCCCTGTGCTATCTATCTCTTTGGGATCCTATTGTACATATTATGTAACCTGTCTACCTAATAATCTATAAGTGAATATCTTTCCATGTCAATGCATGGGTCTCTGCTTAATTCATGTGAATGTTCTTCCATAGTGTGCATATACAATTTAAATTGCCATTTCCCTGTTGAAGAATATTTAGGTGTTTCTAGTTCTCCAATATTAAAAACATCACTGCAATGAGCATCTTTGTTTCCTTGTTCACATGTGCAGGTATTCTTGCAAGGTATTATGCTTGCTGTTTAGTCACATATTTATGAAATTCTTACCATGAACCTGTGAAGGCTATGGGTAATTTGCCACATTCCATAGACGAGAAAGAATTTACGTATCTTTTCTAATGCCTCACGACTGATACATGGTGGAGCCTAATTAAAACAGAAGCATGTCTAACAGCAGAACTCATTTTTTTCTCTGATACCACAATTGTAAACTGCATGTTTATAAGTTAGATTCTTTTTTCTGTGTTTCACAAAAGTTCATCTTCATTGCAGATACTTGCTTTCCTTTCTAGGTTGTCTCCCCCTTCATCCTTCCAGACCATCCCAGAAGATCTGTAAGATTCCATCTGGGAAAACACTAGGAGTTCTTGGAAGAGCAAGAAGGAAGAGGACTGTGTAAGTCAAAGAAATTGTTGCATTTGTCACCATAAGAATCATAGAACACTATTTTTTCCTCTTACTAGCCCTCTCTGCTGCATTTTACACTGTAGATTGTTCCTTTTCCTTATTGAAACTCTCAACTTCTTTGGCTTCCAAAACAACATTCTCCTAATTCTTCTGTGACTACCTTGACCACTTTTGGGTTTTTTTGGCCTGGCCGAATGGTCTCGTTCTGTTCACCCCTTAAATATCATTCTTTCCTAGTTATTATTTACTTTTTTAGAATCCCATACTTGGTTGTTCTTCTTCCTCTATTCTCCATGAATGATTTTGTTGGCTCTCATAAATCCTGCTACCGTCTATATAATAATTAGGCTCAGATCTCCATTTCTGACTCTAGCCTCTCACCTGAGCTTTAAAGTCATGTTTAACTGCACACCTCACACTTAATAGATCCAATACTGAACTTCTTTTCTCTCTGATCCATTTTCTCCTCTCGATGCAGTCTCATTTGGTGATGATACTAATGACTTAATTACCCATTCTCAGAACCTTGAGTAATCAAGTCTACTTCCCATCTGACACCATACATAGTTATTGACTATATTCCCAGTGCTGCACTTAACATCCCTTTGACTGATTTTATAACGGGCAATTTGTGCTTCTTAATCCACTTCACCTTTTCCGGCTTTTAGATTCCACATATGAGTGAAATCATATGGTATTTGTCTTTCTCTGGGTTATTTTACTTAGCATAATAATCTCTAGGTCCCTCCATGTTGTTGCAAGTGGTAAGATTTCATTCCTTTTCATGGCTGAATAATATTCCATTGTATGTATATACCACATCTTCTTTATCCACTTGTCTTATCAATGGACACCTAGGTTGCTTCTGCATCTTGGCTATTGTAAATAATACCGCAATGAACATAGGGATTCGTATATTTTTTCGAATTAGTGTTCTCTATTTCTTCAGATTAATACCCAGAAGTGAAATTGCTGGGTCACACGGTAGTTCTATTTTTAATTTTTTGAGGAATCTTCATACTGTTTTTCCTAGTGTCTGTACCAGTGTACAATCGCACCACTATCCTTGTTGTTTTATAATTGTCACTAAATACTTGAATGCCTAGCACGTAGCATGGTGCCTGTTCTGAAGCAGATATGCAGTAATGTGTGATGACTAAATAGGTTGATGAATGAATGAATGAATGAATGACCTGTTTCCTATTATTTTATTGTTGATTCCAAAGTAACCATGAAAATCTGTGCTTTTATTAATTCATTAATTACCCAGGCTTAAAATTGCAGAGCCACTTTGACTCCTCCCTCTTCTTCATTTACCAGATTCTATATTCAGTTTCTCTTGACTCATCATTCTAGCGCAGGCCTACCTGGACTCCCGTAGAAACCCCCAGTTAACTAAATCTATCTTATTTCTTTCGTGTTGTCATTTTTCCTGTTGAAAAGTCGAATTTCAATTCCACTGCCTTTTGTAGTTTCTTTCCCATTTAATTTATTTTCTTCTCCAAAACTATATTCCTGTCTTTTGGGTGGTATCAAAAAAGAATTTATGGGCAGGTCTGATGAGGTAGTGAGGGTAAAAGGGGGGGGGTAGTAAGTCACTTAGAAATGGTCCAAATTCCAAGAGAGTAGCATGTTCTGTGCTTTGATGGGCCTTTATGAAGCATAGTGTGTTAAAAGGTCACCATAGAAAACAACCGAGTAAAATACTTTATATATTACAGTGGTTGAAATAAAAACAGGGTTGAATGAGTTCCAGAAAGCAGGCTTCTCAAACTCGTGGACAACAATCTGCAGAAGAAGACAACTTCAAAAAACCAACTAGAAGCAATATGCAGAGAAGTAAGATGAGAGGGGCCTCATCAGGAAAGAAGACTGCTGGTCCACAGCCGAAGAATCTGGAACCAGCTCTCCCAGGCAGATGGGGGGGTCGCTCTGCAGAGAACCCCCCTTCAGGATCTGTGAGGAAGACAAGAAAGAACAAGCAGAAGACTCCTGGGAACGGAGACGGTGTCAGTACCAGGGAAGCCCCTCAGCCACCTCGGAAGAAAAGGGCCCGGGCTGACCCCACTGTTGAAAGCGAGGATGCATTTAAGAATAGAATGGAAGTTAAAGTGAAGATTCCTGAAGAATTAAAACCATGGCTTGTTGAGGACTGGGACTTAGTTACCAGGCAGAAGCAGCTGTTTCAACTTCCTGCTAAGAAGAATGTAGATGCCATTCTAGAAGAGTATGCAAGCTGCAAGAAATCACAGGGAAACGTCGACAATAAGGAATACGCAGTGAATGAAGTCGTCGCGGGAATAAAAGAATACTTCAACGTGATGCTGGGCACTCAGCTGCTCTACAAATTTGAGAGGCCCCAGTATGCCGAAATCCTCTTGGCTCACCCTGATGCGCCGATGTCCCAGGTTCATGGAGCGCCACACCTACTGAGATTATTCTTAAGAATCGGAGCAATGCTGGCATATACGCCCCTTGATGAGAAGAGCCTTGCATTATTGTTGGGCTATTTGCATGATTTCCTAAAATATCTGGCAAAGAATGCTGCATCTCTGTTTACTGCCAGCGATTATAAAGTGGCTTCGGCTGAGTACCACCGCAAAGCCCTGTGAGGGTCTACTGACCACTCACTATTATGTCTGGTATCTGTAAACACTCTTTTTGTTCTTAGTCTTTTTCTTGTATAATTGATGTCCTTTGAAATCTTTAATGTATAACAGNGGCTGAGTACCACCACAAAGCCCTGTGAGGGTCTACTGACCACTCACTATTATGTCTGGTATCTGTAAACACTCTTTTTGTTCTTAGTCTTTTTCTTGTATAATTGATGTCCTTTGAAATCGTTAATGTATAACAGGGCTTATATTTCAGCTTTTCTGTTTCGTTTTAAACAGAAAATAAAAGGAGTACAAGCTCCTTTTCTCATTTCAAAGTTGCTACCAGTGTATGCAGTAATTAGACAAAGAAGAAACATTCAGTAGAACATTTTCTTGCATAGTTGACAACATTGCTTGAATGCTGGTGGTTCTATCCCTTTGACACTACACAATTTTCTAATTATGTGTTAATGCTACGTGATAAAAATGCCCTGATTTCCTAGTGCCAAAGGTTCAACTTAATGTATATACCCGAAAACCCATGCATTTGTGCTCTTTTTTTAATGGTGCTTGAAGTAAAACAGCCCATCCTCTGCAAGTCCATCTATGTTGTTCCTTAGGCATTCTATCTTTGCTCAAATTGTTGAAGGATGGTGATTTGTCTCATGGTTTTTGTATTTGAGTCTAATGCACGTTCTAACATGATAGAGGCAATGCATTATTGTGTAGCCATGGTTTTCTGGAGAAGTTGATATTTTAGGAACTGTATTTCAGATCTTAAATAAAATTTGTTTCTAAATTTCAAAGGAAGCAATTTGCAGTGTGCCTTTAATGTTACAGAGGCTAACAAGTCAGCAGGCTCAGGAAAGACCTGGGTAGTGTCAAAGGAGTGTTTCCGACTCCTGGTAAATTTCTTTTTCTATTGGCTGTGGCAGCCAGGAGTGTGCCCTGTCAAGCCAGTTGCCTCCCCCCTCCTCCCCCTCTCAGTATGGCTTCACATGGTGGGATCACAGAGAGCCATCTTTGTTCTCTGCTCCTTGCCCCTATGAGTTGAGCTGGTATAATAGGGTATTTACTGGGTAATTATAACAGTCCTTTACACTTATGCTTTGCTCCTTTCCACCGGAGGAAGCACGGGCAGCCCCCTTCAGTGTTACCTCTATCAGAAATACTTATAGATTTTGGGCCATGGATAGCAAGTAGCTTTCCCTACTTTCAGCATTAATGTTGTCTTCCCTGTTTTTATAATACCTTGGGCATAGCATGGGAATCCTAGAGTAGGGGATCTATGGAGGAGAGGGATGGTGTTGGATGCCTATGCTTATGAATATACCGTATATGGAAATTTATAATAAGAATCACATATATTCCCACTGGATCAGTTCAGGGTCCCAGCAGGAAATAAGTGGGACTCAAAATGGGTAATGTAAGGGGTATTTAAGAATGAATTTTTCCCAAGTTGTCAGCAGAGTAGTAGGGTCATAGTCTGCTGGGGCTGCCACATTAAAGTACCACAGCTTGGGTGGCTTAAACAACAGGAATTTATTTTCTCATAGTTCTGAGTGTTAGAAGTCTAGGATCAAGGTGTCAACAGGTATGGTTTCTTCTGAGGCCTCTCTTCTCCTTGGTTTGTAGAGGGCCACCTTCTCCCTGTGACTTCACATGGTCTTTTCCTCTGTGCCTATCTGCCCTAATCTCCTTTTCTTAGAAACTCAGTCATCAGATTAGGACCCACCCTGATGATCTCATCTGAACTTAATTACCTCTGTAAAGACTATCTCCAAATTCTGTTACATTCTGAGGTACTGCGGGTTAGGACTTGTACATATGAATTTGAAGGTGATGGATTCAGCCTGTAACATGGTGTTACTACCTCTAGGCAAAGAAGAGGAGGAGGGGCATGTAGAGGTGAGAGGAAGGAGCAGGGTGAAGAAAGGAAGTGGGAGCAGTGGGGGCCTACTGGAATGATAGACAGCTGTATGGAAAAGGGTCACCTAACTACAGCTGTGATCTTAAGGATGTAGTCAGCTCAGAGACCTTAAAGAGAATCAAAGGGAGAATCCACCATGTGGGGGGTGGGGTACCTGACCTTGCTCTTCCCTCCTTTCTGTCTCCTGCTGGGTATTTCCCTTTGGCCAAACTAGAAGCCAAAAGTCAAGGAAGACCTTTGATGTAATCTATATAGACACACAGCAGGGAGGAAAAGTAGATCGGGGACAAATGAGAGGTTTCTAGCACACACATTCCTTAAATAACCATAGTTCATACTTTGCCATATATTCTTAGAATTATGTCCTCTGTGGGACCTAGGGCCTGCAACTATATGAGTTCTTAAGAACTCATCAATTCACAGGACAGTTGTAAAATAGATTGTGATACTCATGAAACACTCTATAAGAGTTTGTTTCCTTTGTTATTGAAACTTTGACTAGGAGGCCTAGCAAACAGATGGATCTTAGCTCACCTGCTTGAGCATGTTAGAAATACCACATTTTAAAACTGCCTTTAACTGTCAACATAAATATGACCCTGAGATCCAACCATAGCATGTTGGTGGGATATCCACTTAAGTTGTTATTGGGGATCCCCATCTTTGGTGTTATCTAGCACCAGCTCCTGAAGAGTTCCCCACTGTCATCAGATGTCTGTCCACACTGAGTAGGGATGAGATGCTCATTTACAGTATCTGCAGCAGCCCCCTTGTCCCTGCTGCCTCTATCCAACCCTCTGGGTAGGGGAATCTTTGGCAAGACTAGGTGCCTAGATTCCCTGAGCCTACCACAGGGTCTACCTTGGGTCCTCACATGGAGAATACTCATATCTCTGCTACTGGCAAGACACACAAACCCTGACCTCTCTTCTCTTAATGCCCTCGAATGCCCTCCATTCCTATCCAGGGACATCTGGCTTGATTTCTTCAAGGAATATAATCCTTTTCAAAATGTAAAAGACACTGGCTTCCAACAGCTTCTGCTTCCAGCTCTGCCACAAATTTCCCTCTCCTGAATCTCTGCATGAAATGGGAGAGAGAGAAAATATAAGAACACAATACACACGTTAGCATCTCAATGACTGACAATTCAGTATTTTCCAGTTAAGTTCCAGTTATTTTAGCAGATTTCTTCTTGTTAATTGTTTCATTTTTTTAAACACTTTAGGAATATTCAAGAGAAACCTAAAGTACTTTATTAGGACCTAAATCAGGCCACCCTGTTTATAAAAGAAAGAAATTGTAGTAAGTGTACCCAAACTATTACCTGAATCTCTTGATTTAGCAAGGTTCTCAATTCTGAAACTACACAAGTGATATAGGTTCATCTAACCATCTAGATGCCTAAATGACTTCCCTTCTAAAACTAAAGGGTAGTTTTGAAGTATTGTATATTTTCCCCATGAGGTTCAACACCCAGCTGACATGGGGGGTCCATAATAAATAGCTTTTATAATTGTTACTATTTTCATCAGTATCATTATCAACATAAATAAGCCCATTTTCCATTCAGGAGAGTGTATGTGGATTGGTCCAGAAGCATGTGAAATAAATCATGACACCATGAAACACCCAAAAAGTAAAGAAGGTAGCCATTAAATATAAGGCTTTTTTCACCTAAGGCAGGCTTCTGGCACAATAAATGTTCAAAAATGATAGTGCTCTCTCCCTTCCCAAAAGGAAAGGGTGAAAAATACACACCAAAGATCTGTGGTTCTCAACCTGAAGTCCACACACTCTGAGGACCTTTAAAGATACCATTAAGAACTAAAGAGCTCTCTTCTCATCTTTTCCCCCCCTAATTCATTATGAAGGTACTTAGCTGAGCTTTCTCTAGAATCAAATGAGATATTTAAAAGTGCATCATGAATTGTGAACTATAACAATGGTTAACAGTTTGCTTGCTTATGGAAATGCCAATTATTAGAAGTTGTGTACATATTTTTTAAATTTCAAAATGTAAAAGTCTGTACAAGAAAGAGAAGTTGGAGATAGTCACAATTTTGTTTAAAATGTAAAAGATACACTATTTAGAAAATTCTTAGGATAAGCACTAAAAGATTAAAAATAGACTATAAATTCCAAAATACCAGAGAAAACTCCATTGGCCAAACAAAGGAGAGGAGAAGGGCACAAAGAAAAAATATGCTAAATAGAAAATACAAAGGAGGAAGGTAGAAATATATCTGCAGTATGTCAGTAGTCATAATGTCCATGAATTAAAATCATATTAAAAGGAAAACCTCAGATGGGATTTTTTTCAAAGCACAGAATCCAGTTTCATGCTTTTTCTCAGAGACGCTTAAAATTATCCAGAAAAGTTCAAAATAAAGGAATGAAAAAATATACAGTGTATATTTTATATTTAATATATAGGCAAATAGTACTAAGCAAAAGAAGATGGAGTAGCAAATTAATGCAAAAACAGTAGTAGTATTCACCCACAGGACATAGCGTATCGCCTGTGCCTCTGGGTCTGGGCTGATGCAGACATCACAAGCACTGCGCCAGGCACACATATAGCTAAAGTCACCGCAGAACCACCCAAACTGACCAGGTCACATCCAAGGCCCTTCTGGGAGTCTGAGCAAGGTGGGTAGGGGAGCAATGGGTGAGGTCTTGTTGGAAGTCCATCACTTTTGGGGGAGGGGGGTGCACTTCACTGTACTCTGAGAGAAGGACCAGCCGCTTCTGCTTCAGCCCCAAGTGACCTGGTCAGGCCCAGGTCAGAGGTCTTGTTCAAAGATGTTCCCAGCTAGAAATCCTGGGGGCTTTATCTCCTCCTCTACGAAAAGTTCTCCAAAAGAGAAACAGACTTCAGATGGGGCCAGTCATTGTCCTCCAGGTAAGCATGTCCAGGACTGCCTGGCCATCAGCCTAGGAGAGTCTGGTGCCTGCTGCAGGCTGGAGCAGAGAAACCAAAGTCACAACCTGGAGAGGAGTCTGGTTAGGGTGAGTCCTACATCCTCAGAGCACCAGGGGAATGGATTCATCCTGTGAGCCCCTGGACCCTCATCTCACTCCATCAGGAATCGAGCCCAACCAGCAACCACCAGGCTGCCATAACCTTGAAGATTGCTCTGGAGACACAAAGACCTCCAAGATGGTATCACAGAGAAAACAAAAAGCCAAGTGCACATTCAATCTTGCTTTGCTTCATAGATACCTAATTTTCTTACATTACACTTGTCACTTTTTAGTTTTTAATTTTTAATTTTTTGTTTTAGTACTTCAGAAAGGCATTCCCACTTGAATTCTTATGAATATTTTTCTTATAGTTTCTTTTTTCTCACTTTATACTTTACATTCCCTCTGAGCACCCAGAAAACTGTACTTCCTAGGCCCATAGCCACCCCCAACCCTTGTTGTTAGTTGAGGCCACATGACTAGTTTGGGCCAACCGGCTCTGCACAGCAGTGATTTATGTGAGACTGGGGAATGCACACACAGACCCAGCAGGGCAAGAGTGTGGGGGATGCACACACAACTCGCACAAAGCAGGGCGATAGTATGGAGAATGTGCACACACATCAGGTCAAGTGTGGGGAATGTACACACACGCATAAGGCAGGGTGAGAATGTGGGAAATGCACACACACACAGCTGGCCAAGAGTTCGTAATACAACAGGGTGAGAATGTGTGGAATGAACACACATGCACACAGCAGGGCATGAGTGTAGAGATGTACTCACATGGAAGGGTGAGAGTATGAGGAATGTGCACATACACACACCTGGGCCAAAGTGTGGGTAATACATACAGCAGGGAAAGAGTTTAGGGAAGGCACACGCATGGCAGGTCGAGAGCTGTGGGGAATAT